AGAGAGAGAGAGAGAGAGAGAGAGAGAGAGAGAGAGAGAGAGAGAGAGAGGCATGCATTATAAGTTTATAACTAACTTAGTCGTTATCCTGCTCGCCATCTATATGGTTTCCAACTGTCCACTGCTCCTAGGTGTTCTGCTTATTCTGATTCTTCATTTCTGACTGTAGATCCCGAAGAAGATCAATGACCAGAAATGAAGAATGAGGGAATGTGAGGGAATGTGAGACCTTGTCCCTGGAGGATCAGTATTTCAATATTCTTAAGAAATTAAAAACACTAGACTCAAGTGCAGTACTTGTGTTTTCCGCACTTTGTCATGGTCCTGCCGATGAGACTTTTTGTGTGCCGTTTTTTGTTGGCGATGGTGAGGGTGTCAGTTTTGGGGGACACAGGCGAGGTCGTCAGTTTGTAACGTCACACTTTTGAATTAACTTCACAGCTACGTTGGCGATGGTGTTGTTGTGTAGGTTTAATCTCTTAACGGAGAATGCACAAGACTTGGCAAAGCTAATGACCCTTGAAAATGGAAAGCCCCTCAACGAATCCATGATCGAGGTGCTCCTCCCCCCCTCTTCCCCCCCCCCCCCCCCCTCCTCCTCCCTCTCGGTCTCTGCAGATTGTCCCCATTGAATTGGAGATGAAGATTTACTGAAGCTGTCTTTGGGTAGGATGATCCTGGCAATGGACATGGTGATGACGATGCTGATGGATACGATGAGATGGGGACCGCATAACCGCATGGACACATGGTAGGTATTGTGGGGCTAGAGTTGGTCTGTGCTCTTTAGCCATAGCCATAGGCTAGGCTATGGTGATAGCTATGGTGACGGCTATGGCGATGCCATAGCTTAGCTTTTTTGGCACAGCAAGCAATTAAGTCAAGCTGCGACATCGCCATAGCCAGAGGTCGAGCTCACTGCAAAAGTTGTGGAGCTTGCCCACAAGTGGTTATGTGGTCCCCACCACCACACCTTTGCCCTGCCGTTGTCTTCTTCTCTTCCTGCTTTTTTTTTTTTTTTTTTTTTTTGTGTGTGTGTGTGTGTGTGAGGGCAAGGGGTGGGGGAAGGAGGGGCAGAGAGTTGGCGGATGTATGGAGTATGGGGTGTGTGCCACTTATAAACCGTGTAATCTTGCATTGGATGGATGGTGCATGTGGCAGCACACCCTCCTCCTCTTTCATGTTACTTATTTCTTTCCTTTCGTTTCACAGATAGTGTCTATTAGAACGGCTGTCTGGGCAAAAAAAAAAAAAGAAAAAAGAAAAAAAAAGAAGATAAAAAGAAAAAAAAAAGAAAAAAAAGAAGAAAAAAAAGAAGAAAAAAAAGAAGAAAAAAAAGAAGAAAAAAAAGAAGAAAAAAAAGAAAAAAAGGAAAAAAAAAGAAAAGAACGGCTGTCTGGTCCCAGCTCAGTTGGTTACACCCATGTACTGTTGAAATACAGGCCTCAGTTCGAATCCAGATGCAATTAGGTGAATGAAATCAAATATTTGTATTTCATACTATTTCTTTAAAATTACCTGGCGCCAGTAAGTTCAGCAATGATTGCAACAATGATATCTGAAGGCCGTCGGGCTTTTTTCTGACAAATAAGGAGAGCTGCTGTCTGTCTTTTCTCCCTCTTTGATAGACGCTCCCCCTTCTTGTTGCCTTATGCTGCGATGGGTCCCCCCTCTGTGGTGGGAGGTGCTCCCATCGCCGTATACTGGGGGGGGTTATCTGTTGTGTGCAGCTCATGTTTCCAATGTTTTAAACCACCCGTAACTTGCCCAGCTAAAGATTTCCGACGTACCCAAAAAAAAAAA